CCTGCTCCCTAAAGTCCTAAAAAGCAAAGGAAAGCGTTCACTTAGTTCTCAGCAAATCCAGTGGAACACAGGTCTAGTAACAGACTCGCTCTACAGTTTGCAGTCTGGCACAAGAACACAGGTGCAGAGTGATTTGGGAGGGCAATGCTCACCGTTATGGAATTGCTGAGCTGTTTGACCTTCTGCTCTAGTTGTTCTCTTTCCTGTTTTAAATCTGAACTCCATTTAAGTAGTTTCTGTTTTTCCTCTTCTTTTGCTGCAAAACAGAATATTAATCAGAATATTTGAAATGTTACCATTGCAACAGTGGATAGAGGCTCTGAACTGCTTCACGTGAAGAGGGTAATTGAGTTCAAAGTCAATTCAACAGCTTGTGCACTACATCACACCCAAAACTTCACATAAGCATCACAGAAGACTTAATGAATATTTAGACTGCTATTTTCACTTCACTAGTGATTAAGGTTCTTCCCCTTTTAATTTCCTTTTGTAAAGGTAGTACCATTCTATCCCATTCACAAAATAACATCTTCCATTATTAAAAGTGAAACAAAACTGTTGTTCTCCGTTTTCTTACCTGCTTTATATGCAATATACGAATGAACAATTGCTAAAGTTCCTGGCCATGGGATTGCTTCTTCCTTCTTTAGCATCTGAAAGAAAAGTGTTTATAGAGATTTAGCTGGTACACTGTCTACCTCTAAGAAAGCAAAAAGGAGAGAGGGAAAGACTGAGGTGGTTCTTTTATGTCTATCATTAGTCTCAGCCCTGTTAACATGAAGCTTCGCAGCCCTGTTCTGATATTTAACAGAGGAAACTATTCACAACTGTATTGTGGCTCCCAGAAAGGAAGGCCTGTTTCTTACAAATATCAGCATTTTCTCAAATTCCCTCCATAGCCACAAATAAAGCCTACTAATGAAACCGAACAACTTAAAAGAGGAATGAAAAGATAATATATCTGAACTCAAACTTGCCAGCAGACATAAACATTATTTCATGGTTCAGGCAAATTGCTGATCTTAGTTGTTCTGAGAGAAAAGTTTTCATGGCACAGAACAGTCTCCACATGATACATTTAAACACCACACTTCCTGGCTAGTAAAACATGAAAACATCGTATCTCCCCTTCTTATCAGAATCATCTTAGTAGAGTTGTCAAACCCTCTTTATGAGGGTAAGCACCTTTTATATCTTTCAGATCCTTCCTACGTATTCCTTCCTAACAAACTTTATTTTGAGAGGAAAGACATATATTTTTAATAAGTGAATCAGAGAGGTGTCTCAGAAGGTAGAGGACTCAGTCACATTATAGTGAAATAACTCAGATCTCCATCCCTCAATTTTGTGGGAACCTATCACAGAAATACGAAGATGAGGGATAAGGTGAGAGTAGGCAAGAGCAGGAACAGGGAAGAGGTAACACTCCCTCCTCTCTCTTGTAACTACTGACCAAATCATTTGAGTTTTGCATTTTCGTTCTTCTTCTGAACAGCATACCATACGCCAGGCTGTTTTCTTACGTTACCATCTAGCTAACCAAAGGTCACGTGAGCGACCAAGCAATATGCTACATCAGACAGAATGCTAACATCTTCAGGCTGCTGATTAACAGAAGGGGTTAGGAATACAATACTTTACTTATTTGTCCTGTAATCTCAATGCAATTATAAACAAAATATTAAAATATCATCTGTTCATTTCAATTGTGTACTTTCAGAAAGGGATCTGGAAGGAAGAACCACCTAACTGTTCACCTATCCTCATTATACTGATGCTGGATGATATTATTAAAGAGATCACTGAAGACAACCTCTCTGATGTTTGATTTATATGAGCAAACAGAGGCTTATGTTTGCTCTATCTATTGAGGTAGGCTTCTGCAAATGTTTTATTTATTTGTCCAGAAGAACATACTAATAACTTTTGAAGAAACAATGAGCCTAAGACAAACAAAAATTTATATGGGTCATAGAGAACCTTTCCCAAAAGTTTGTGTGCTTTGACCCAGAAAAAGAGTAAAAACACAGGGGTAGCAGGTAAAGACCCTGAATCTGGGAGCAAGACCTAACAGTTTTGTATTTGCATGCATTCCAACAGAGATAATTTGATCAAATTCACGCAAGCCTTATTACAGGTCAAATAGATTTGTTCAGTGTCAGGCTGTCTTGATCCAAGTAAGCCAAGTGATCTGGTTGTGTTCTTTAAAATGGGAAAAACCTCTATAGTGCATTGTATATAACTCTCCCTGTTTGTCAAACAATACCTGGTCTTGACATTTGGGACAGATCCACATGCCCTTGGGAATAGTTTTCAGAGGCGGGTCCAGACAGTCCAGGTGATAAACACGTGAACATGTGTCACACATCAGCAACTGCCCACTTTTTCTGCAAACACTGCAAAAATCCTCATGGATATCGCCCTGTAAAATTGAGGGGAAGGGGTATGGGTGAGAGAAAGAGAGAGAAGGCAAGAAGTGAACTTTGACCTTTGACATCTACATCCTAGTTGAATGCAAAGTTTACAGCACAAACTATTTCTAAGGCTATATTACAAATAGCCAAGCCCTTTTTAGGATGTGAAACAGAAAAACCAGGCGGGATGTCAGAAACACTGACATCTGTCCTCCCAAACACTCCCTCTGTCCTCCCATGGCAAAATATTACAGCAGACACATATTACCACAGCTTCTCTTAACAACTGCTACCCCGTAGCCTGTCTTCTTTAAGATTCCCCTTTACCCTGCTCTTTTTTTACCTAAAGTGATGAGCTACCCACTTTCTTAACCCTTCCCATTTCTGGATGTAAGCACAACTCTACTTCAGGAATGCTGATGAGGCTGTCTCTTGCCTGTAATAGTATGTAAGAAACCCCAACCGAGTGACTTAAAAGAACACTGTCAAATATTTAGGTCACCTTTAAAAATTAAACTGGAAGGAAAAGGTGTTGTGCTTGTAAATGAAAAAGAACAAAATGAATTATGTTCTTTCTACTTCACTTAGGTTACCTCAAATTGCTCGAAAAAGCTGTGACTCAAGATTTTCTCATTCTCTATAGATAGTGGTTTATGTTTCATCACTAACAGAGGCTGAGAGCCAGGATGAAGGAAGGGAGATTTTCTAACTAAGTTTTTTTTAAAGAAAGCATGGAGAACGCTACTGGCAGTGTCTCTTACAAAAACTAGGTTTAGTTCCTACCGCATCACCATCAAGGAGAATTTTTTTCTACAGCCATTAACTCCCCAGAAAGGTAGATTTGATTTTTGTCACTTTTTCTTCTCTGTCTCTCTTCTCTTGTTACTCCCACCTCATGCCCTCTCCGCTCACTGCCTGTGGCCTGTCCTGGCAACTCGACATATTCAAGGCCCCACTCGGAGTGTGACATATCCGCTTCTCACTGACTGCGGTCAAAGTTTCACACACACCAGATCTGCAAGACCATGATCTTAAGATGTGTGTGTTGAGTCAAACTGCACATATACACTCCGCGTTGGAAATCTCAACGTGTGCAAGGTTTCATTTTGACCTGTACAGTCTTTCACATGCGTGAATAAGGTCTGTCATCTTGGAGGGACAGGAGGCTTGGCCGTGCACTCACACAGTAAGCTGCCAGGCAAGAAAAATGCCTCTAATCTCTACTATGGATAAAATATTAAACATATTAGAAGAATGACACACAAGCAATCTGCTCAGGTTTCTGCTCCCCATCTCTATTGCTGATGAGGCCCTCCTTCAAAGGGAAGGCTGTTCTTCTCTTAGTTCCCAAGGTTAGCACTGATGTCATGTTTTGTAAAGGATCAACCTTCAGTGAATTTTCAGTGCCATGTTTTAGTTCTGTAACTCCCAGGGATCATTAAGAGCTGGATTATGGTATTATTTCATCCTTTAACACCAAAGAGTTCCTCGGTGTTAAGTGAAGAATTAAATGAGTGACATTTCATGCCTCTTGTGAAGTGATCTGTGTAACCAGGCTGGGAAGAACTTCTTTTCCTCTATCATGCATTCTGCATGTACAAGGAAAAGAAGGCGGGCAGGAGACATCATGAAAGTTAAAACAAAATCCTCTGCAACCTAAGGAAAAATTTAGGAGGAAAATTCTCATATTTTAGAAGAAAATTCTCATTGTAGAGAATTACATGTGTTAAGATGCTTTGTTTGCCACAGACTACATGATGGCACTTGGTAACTGGCTCAGGTGCAAAATTATTGGTGTGTTGAAAACCAGACCTGTTTTGTCTAATATCCTGCAGAAAGAGAACTACACGAGACACATGCAGTTGCTTCTTGAGGGGGAGACATTCAGAAATTTAGACTCAGAACCTTCTAAATTCAACTGAACGCTGCAAAATCTCAAGTGACACAGCAGATCAGTGTGCAGCACAGCTGAACACGCCGAGAGGACAACACACATGCATAAAATCCACGGTCTTATTTTTGGTAATGCCAAACTCAGTGCACTGCCTTAGAATTAGTAACCGGCCTTACCAAAACCCCAGCCACTGTTTGCTTCCAAAGAAAAGCCCCAGGTTTTATGGGCAGTTAATAAATATATGCATACAGGAGGGCTGGATTTGATGTTGTGACATGTACCCCATTAATCTTGGCTTCTGACCAGCTCTGTGAAGGCTACAGGCGGCCAACTTAGGCTAATGCAGAGCTCACTGAGGCTGCTCTAACACATGTTACAGGCCGAAGAGACTGAAGAGTACTTTCAGAACAGGGACCATAAAAGGTGATTTAACATCACTTTTTGCTCTACTTCCTCTGCACCAAGAGACCAGGAAAATAAATGAAAGCTCTTTCGACAGCTAACAGTATTCTTTATTTTTATAAAGTGTCTAGAGCAGCAGGGCCTGGCTTTAGGCAATAGAACTGAATAATACAGTATCAAATCAGAGGTATATGTAGTTTGCGTGTTTGAACATGTAATATATATACTTATATGTACTTTTCCCTGGAATAACATAGGAAAACTAAACATTCTGCAACAGAAATTGCTCATGACCATATAAATAAAGATGATTATAATGTGTGATGTAAGTGAATTAACTTATCAGAAGCAGTAATAATCCTGGCATTTCCTAACTTTTAGGGGCTTGACTTTGCAATCTGAATGTTCTCTAATGCTCCTCTCAATTGAAATGTTGTTTTGATATTAAAAGTTTACTAATAAAAAAGCATTCTGTGACCACAGACTTGAACCATCACTAGAATAGAGATTTTTGCACTATTCTTACGGCTGAGTAATTGTCTGTCAAAGGCAATTGCTATCTTCCAGGTGAATATGACACTACTGTGTGAGGGGGAATCACACATAACCAAGTGTGATTCACACAGCCAATTGCCAAATAGAAAAAAGAAAAGTTTTTCTTTTTCTGCATTACTTCCTTCCTTTTCCCAAGATCTATTCCTACTTTCTACCCCTCCATTCTTATCACCAATCCCCTCTCGAGTTCCTGCTTCATCCTCCCTTCAAAATTTATCCCTGTCATTCAGAGAAGGACAGTTCAGGAGAAAGGCAAAGTGGTCGTTCTGAGTCATGGTGCTTGGTGTCAAGTACTTGGCCTGACTTGTAATTTTCATAGGTTGGCTAAAGACAAAGATTACTCAAGTGCTAAATATCAAATTTCCATTCTAAAGCCTATAGGAATTAGACTTTCTCAGCAAATTAATGCCCAAATATTTTAAAGATGGGCAAAACTGCAGTTTTCTTCTGTATCTATCTGAGGAACTGCTCAATTGTTTTAACTGAGACTTCTGAAATAGCTTTTTACTTAGGCATGCACTTGTCATGTTTTAAGTTAATTAAGTTTAAATTTAAAGTCCCCAAAAGCTGGAGGCTGTAACTACAGAAAACATTTTCTGTCCTATCTAGAATAAAGAGACCTTTCTATACTCACATCATCTGCTAACAATGTAGACACCCTCTCCAACATGACAGGGACTGGCCTCACTGCCAAAAGAAGTGATCCTGCCTTCTCTACACTCATTTCGGTCCCTTGCATGAGGCTGGCACAAGAACGTGTATGTCTATAAAATAACCAGGGCACAATCTTGGCTAAGACTAACAATTTTTAGCAATGCCAGTTCTCTTACGCAGATCACAATGTGGCCTCAGATATATCTGTGCTGAAACAACATAGAAGGCATTTAAGGGATGAGAAAAGACTGCTGGTGACAGGCAGGACAATTCTTTTCAGGTCATAAACTGCGGCATAAGCATTTCAGTGTATACTGTATTCTACATCTAATTAAGCCGCAAGCTCCTTAAATGCAAAAGATCTAATTTTCTTCTTTGTCTTCACCTCCAGCATGACTCGTACTGCTGGTGTTTAAATTATAGTACTTTTTCAGCATTATATAGCACTTTTCCAGCCAAGGATGCTAAAGGTTTTTACAAGTATTGCTAAGTTCTTAAAACTCTGATGGGAAAAGGAAGCATCATGCCAAATGTATAAATGGGGGAAACCGAATCACAAAAAAGGGATGTGACTGCACAAGCTTATACAGCAATTTTATGAGAACATATTAACAGCAGACTACCTTCCAGCTCACGATGGCAATGGGAAACCATTCCTCTCTTTATGATTTAGCAAGTAAGAACGTAACGACAGTAGAATACATCTCATATTTACTTCCTTTCCAGTATTTTGCTGTCTCTGAAGGTTCAAATTTTGTTTAACAGTCTATCTTTAATTGAAAAAATATTTTTATGAGCACTTTGAAATATATTTTCTGTTTTTATATGTATTTTATTTTATATGGAATTCAATACCAAATATTTCTGAAAAGTCTACCAAATTGGCCCGACTGACAGCGAATATGCATTGAATGGGACTTTGGGGTATAATTCCCTCAAAAAATTAAACCCATAAAAATGTTAGCGCTGTTGCATATGTATAAACTAAATGACTTGTCTGGAAACATCTTAAAGGAGATTTATATATGATTCTAAAGGGTAAAGAGTGCTACTGTGCGATATTGCAATATGGTCAGGTGAGAAAGAATGTTAATTACCTGCTGTGCAATTTTTCACTGTCTCCTTTAAAATACTTCTATTTTCATTAATTAATGAATATTAAAGCAATTCAGAACCTAGGCCTAAATACTATCCAAGTTCAGAAAATTCAGGGCGTTCAGAACTAGATTTGAACGCTACAGAAATTCACTATTCTTGATTTAGCTTGCTGTCACCAGGCACTGCAGGAAACAGGGCAACAACTCATTCTACTGTTTTGAGAGCTCTTACACAGTGGGAAAAGACTTGCCAGTATACACACACAAGTCAGAGATGGAGAAGACCCCCACTACACTACCCACTCCTTCTCTTGGGGCCAATGTAAAAAATGTGCTCTCCAGCATGCTGGATGGTTGTTCGCATTGCTTACTTTTAAGAGTCCCCAGAGACGGAGCTGCCCCACCTTCTCCCTGAGAGGCTGTTCCATTCATTTGACTGTCAGGAAAGTGTTTTTACAGTCAAGCACTATTCTGCTTTCAAAAGCGACTATATAAAATGGAACCTTTTAATTTCATATACATATCCCCCTGGATATCAGAATTGCATCTATTTATTTCAGTGACTCAGACACACTTCTTCTATTTCTACTCTTGTTACCTCTGCAGGACAAACACAGTTCGGAGGCAAGAAGTCGGCTTCTATTCTCTACTGTATGTGGCCAGTAGAGTTAGTCTCTCAGTCGATGTACTCAAAGCGGTACAACTGCATGCATGAAAATAAAGCAGCCCAACTCTTCCTTCAAGGTCATTTCAAATGGTTGGGCCTCAATTATATGTGAAGAAATGTGGGGGTTTTTTTCAAAAAAAAGAACGGGGGAAAGAAAAAAAGAGACTGCTCTGACTCAGATTGCAGGAGATTGCATCACTGGTATGATGAAATAAGCAAGTACCTGTTTATTTTTAAACTGTGCCCAGTAAGTACTAGTCATTAGAACGCAAGCACTTTACTGGAAGTACGCTACAACTCCTCAGAATTTTTGTCCAATGAATTGTTTCACCCGTACTGAACAGTGACAGTACACTTTCAAACAAACCAGAGTGCACAGTCCCTTCAGTATGTCATTTTGGATCTACATAGCGACTCAGTTCATCTCTTCCTACACTATTTACCTTTCAAAGTTCATGCATGACCTTTAATTTTTTTCATCATGTTTTTGCAAGAAATAGAAATAATGAAATAACTGGATAGTTTCCAGCAACTTAAAAAACATTGTGCTTTGAGTAGCAAATCTTATCTTTGAATTAACTCAAAATAAGGACACCTGGTTCTTCATAAATTAGAACAAAATGACCAGATTTCACTCGACAGATTTTGTGATCTGACCACAGAGGCGATGTATTTAGCTACGCCAGTATACCAAAACTGCCGTAACCAGTGCTGTGAACACTGCTCCTGGCCGTCCTGGGTGATCCAAGTGGTTCTCCTCCTTCTCTCATCACAGAAATACCCCAACTTTTTGTTATTATCGTCTGTAAGTAATACTTTTCATTCTCTCCTTCCTCCTTTTTCATGGATGACAGACTCAATTCAGTCAGACAAGATCTCAGACACTGCACAAAGGAAATGAGCTCATCTTGCATGCCTGGTGCCTCCCAATGTTTCAATCCACTGAAGGAGTTATAAATAAAATCTCTACAGGATAAGAACATAGGTGCAGGAGGAAAAAGGAAGAGTGTTAAAAGAACATTGGACCGTTTCACTGCATTGAATCAGGACCAATGATGAGTGAGACTAAAGAAACAAAATTTGCAACGATTTTTCTTGTGGCTATTTCTCTGGATCTTTCTAAAAGTAATTCCCTCCCCAAAAGTTACTTACGTCTGTGGAGCTGGGGCTAGGCAGGGACACAGGCTGAACAGCTGCGGGAAAAGTAAATGTGGTCTCTGTCTTTTCATTTTCGGGGGACTCAGGATAACTGGACAGAGGGGATGTGGGGGTCAAAGCCCCGAATCCCAGCACCGTGTTGTATTTAGGTGGACGACCTACATATTAACAACAGGGAACACAAAAAAAAAAAAAAAAAAAGGAAAAATGATCTTACATACCTTTGGCCAGTGGTCCTCATTGGCTAGCATGAAAAAGGAAATGATGTAGCACAGAGAGGAAGTTAATATAAAAGTTACAAGTAAAGGACAGAAGCAAAGATTTAAACATTTTTTAGAAATCTTTAAGTAGAATCTTGCAAGGAAAGAACATTTAAAAGACGTATTTCAGAAGGAAATAGAAATAAGCTCTGTAGAGGGTCAAAGAGTCACTCCCCACAGTGTGGGGACACTCGCCACTGCTAGAAATGACGCCATTCAGTTTTAGGGAAAACATGTTGGCATCAAAGCTAGAGAGACACTACAATAACTACTATTAAATCCTTTCTACCGTTATCCCACACCTCCCTATCTCTCTAGTGCCAGCATAAATCTACACAAAGGTTAAGTCCTTTATCAGAGGCCAACACTCACCAACCCCCTCCTTTTCTTCCCCTTTTTTTAAACCCACTCACCCACAGATCAGCACTTTCTACCCTACTGGTACGTTTTTTAAATTAGGCTATCTCAAGAACAGGTCTTGTTGTCTGACCCATAACACCAGCACTACCAGTTGTAACCTACCACTGGTCTTCCACTGTAACCCTCCCCAAATTCTGTATTTTTTCTTAGACTCTCTCAGTCCAGAATGTTTGATTATGCATAGCTCCTGTATGTTCCTTTAGACTAGCAGAAGTGCAAAATGTGTTCGTAATAATTTTGAGAAAATCACGTATGGAAAGCAAGACGGCAAAAAAAATACTATGTAGCCATCATTTCTGCCTCCCTTCTCCAGGGTAATTTATGGCTATATAAACATAAAGGAGTTAGGATCTAGGAATAATTCCCTAGATCTTATGTTTACAAATTGTCAGACTATACCTATTAACATGCCAAACCTAGCATTTAAGATCTGGACATGTTCCAGAACTAAGTATGTCCTTGGAAACGAATATCTGATAGTGATGTCCACTGCTGAAATTTCTGACACGCTCAGCATCATCTAGAATTAAACTAAAGCTCTCAAGGGCACATGCTTGCATAAGCTTTTCACCTAATATATTGCTATACTAAATCACAAAACAAATTTATACATCCAAATCTGTCAACTGAAAATGTGTGCTACTCATTTGGTGCTGATGCAAGGTACAGGCTAACAACAGGGTGTGAGAAAAAAAAGTATAACAGCAGCCAGTGCACAAAAACAGGCTAAGAGAGCATCAAGTACAAAAGCATGCAATCGTTTTCATTGGTACAGTAATTGTTCACGATGAGTTATAAAACAGAATTAAGAAATCATTACTAGAAGAAGGAACATTTACCTATCCGCAGAGTAAATGCAAAATTCTCTATAAAATCTACATAATATAATTAAAAAAAAATTTAATGTTATTAGAGGATGGCAGTAGAGACTGATGTCTTTTATTTAGAAACAGCATAGCTGCAGAAGTGTCAGCTTTGCCACATCGCCCGCTGGACTGAAGAGGTATATCAAGGAGAGCACATACCAAATGAATATTTGACCATGCAGCCAAAATCCAAAGATAATGGAACTGGTCAGCGCTAGGTAGGACTGTGTGGTTTTTAATCTGATTGATTAATTTTTTTTTAGACAGCAAACTCAGGAGTAGAGAAGGTATTACGAGTCTTTAAGGAGTGCAGAAAATCATCAAAAATCGGGGAAACACGGTCATATACGCGTGGCTGATGACATGCACAAAAAATGGTATCACATTCTCTCCTATGCTGTTCTGACTTCTCTGTTTCACCATAATCTAAGTCTAATCTACATTTCACCTGTTCTACAGAAGGATTTCTGCTGAATAATATTGCATACCTATATGAAAGATCATCTCTCATTTTAGGACAAGTGGCACTCTGGCTGCAGAAAAATGCTCAGTATGAGCACGATAGCCTTTCTTGCTCAAGATAAATTCTTTTGAAGGATCCATCTCTACTCCCAGGGGAGAACAAGGCTTTTCGCACACTAAGTTTCCTCTCCTTTTTCTATAACCACCTTCTTCTTGACAGTAACAATAAAATTTAGATATTAACAAAAGGATCTTGACAGCAGCTTTATACCACTAAATGATGTTCAAACATCTCACCTTTCACTTTGCTCTATCTATCGTATTTTACTACTTTTTTTTGAGAGTGAAACTGAAATGAAACATTGAGCTGCCTCATAAAATCTGCTATGCAAATCCCTAGAAGTCATGATCTTTGTCTAGCATGGAAATTTACGGGACAAATGAAGTCGTGTAGAGTTTTTCTTTGTTTTGCTCTTCCAATCAACAAGGGGACTGCAAATGCAAGATGGAAGAAAAGGCATACAGCAGAGAGACAGGTCTAAGTATACCTCACCTCTTTTACGCGTCCCGGGATGCATTGTGCTGTTCAGGTATGTGACTGCGCTCTTCTTGCGCTGCAGAGAATATAACAATTTTTGTTGGCTAACATTTTTGGCAACAACTATATGCAATAGCTGAAGAGCAGCACAGTAGTACTAAGCAAGGTTCCTGGCTGTTTCTGCTTTCCTGCGCAGCTTCAGTAAGGTTAGCCTTTTCACACTAATTCTGATGTCTGGACTGCTTCAGGCTGATATGTGAGCTGACCTAATAGTAAGACTAACACACGCTGCCATTTAACGTCAGCTTTACACAGGAGAAGGCAGAAAAAGATGGAAGTATTAGAAAAACATCCCAATGTATTTGCTATTTAAAAATCTGAGGGTCATATCATTGCAATGGCCTTTTGAATTATAAATGATAACTTGCCTGTCTAGTTAGAACTGAGATAGCTTAGAAGGCAGCAACATGGCCGAAAGACACACAAGCTCAGAAAGAAAATGTCAGCTTCCCCCAGCAAAATCTTAATACCTCAGGCTCAAAAACAGCTCCACTGTAGACTGGATTTGCTGTTGTTCTTCTTTTCCGCTCTTGTCGCTTACTTTGGATTTCTTGTAAAACAAAGCATTCAGGTTAGAAGACAATTCAGAAATTATTATACAAAGTCCTCAGAATTCAGTTTGCACGTGAGGAGAGCTGTGAAGGTTTCTACAGAACACCAATCATGCTGAATATAGGCAACTTTGCTATACTTCTCGTTTCTGAAGGTTTGAAAACTAAGAGCTGCCAAGATTACATATACAGTGCTGAACTAACTAGTGAAATGACTGCGATCTTCTCACCAAGTACTCCACGAGAAAGATATTTTAAACTCATGGTCAGTGTAATCGGGATCTAAAACGAAAAGCCTCTGGTAGCCTTGTTGACACTTAAGAATAAATACAGTACAGAAATACAGTACAGAAATATGCAAGCCACTGAAACGTTAGGTTGTATTTCACTGTATAGGATTAAGGAGCTTAAATTATAAACCCAATTATAATCCATTAACTCATTCACTACAGATTACAGTCCTACGTAATAATGAAATAAATGAAAAATCCAGATGTGAGTTACAGTAAAATTATCCATGGTTTAACTTAGCAGATACAGGCGTTGTACAGAAAGCAATGGAATTGTCACAAATTTCTTTCCTACATGAGAGCACACACTTTCTTCTCAGCCAATGATCTCAGCTGCATGAGCAACTGCTTTGTTTCAATGTAATAAGAGGAATAAAAAAGTATGCACAACAAACAAAGTTAGATCAAGAGTACAGACGTCTTGAATGTACTTTTGTGCAAGAAAATACTGCATTTAATACAGAAATATTTTGGCCCTATATTTCCAATTCAGAACGGCCATGAAACAGGGAGCCCAAGAACCAGCTTAAGACATTTGTCCTACCTTCCAGATGGTCGTGAGTAACTAGTCCCAGAGACACCATGAAGGCAAGTTTCTGTGAGGGGAAAGGAAAAAAGATCAATACAAGTCGAACCATTAGGATGAGCTATGTCACTTAGGCCCTTTACAGTCAGTTGATAAGTAACTAAGCAACAAAAATGTTGTTAGTAATACTTTGCTTCTATAAATCACTTTTCATTCATATATGTCAATCTGCTTTACAGAGGGATAGGTAGGTTCCATCTTCTACATGGGAACCTAGGCTGAGATACAGGGAAATGCCAATTGCTCATGATCACAAAGTTGGCAAAGCTGCAAACAAGAAAGCAGTTTCTTTACTTCCAGTCCAGCACTGAACCGACTATGTGATTGGCTCTTAGTAAATACCAACACAGTTCAATTGCCAGCGAAATATTGCTAGCTGAAGATCATTCTCCACATATTGCGAACTACAAGGGGCAACTCTGGTTTGCATTTCCTGTTTGAGAAGGGCTATGGCTTTCTTAAAGGATTCTAATTTTAATGCAGAAAGTGCACAAACATGTGAAAATCAGAATTTGTACAGACAACAGTTAATGCTCACACAGTAGTCAGTCTGAATCCACCTACAAAAACAAATGTAGTAAAGCATTTAGCTGCAATCAGTTTCAAAGCTCTGCATGGCAGAGAGGCTTTAAGAAATAGCCATTCTGGTCACTCTTTCTCCCCAAAAGCAACTGGACCTAAACTGGAATAAAACCTGGGCAGAATGTGAACATACATGACTCTTTCCATCCTGCTTACCAGTGCAGAAATATCTTATAAAGCAAAATACATTTCTCGAGCATTAAAAATAACTCCAGAAGACAAAAATCTCAAACAAATGGAAATCAACACTGTAATCTAAGCCTCCTGGTTGAAGGAAGTATCAGAGGGAAATTATGATCTTCTGACTTGCAAAAGACTCGGAAGTCAAACACATTCCAGGACTGAAAAATGCAATGCATTATATTTATTGAGATTTCTTACTCTGTAGCCTTATCAACTACTGCTGTCCAACAGGAATGTATGGAATGTTAAAGTTAAAGAGTCTTGAGGGAGTAGAGGGGGAAAAATGTTTTCTGAAGGACAGAGCGTTTCTTTTTTTTCTTCAAAGAAAGCTCTGGGTGTTCTGATACCTGTGGATTTTCTTCTCGTTTTGGCTTCGGTGCAGCAGGTGGAGTAACTGTACGAGTTTCTATTTGCTTCTCTTCTGCTTCCACATGTGGTTTAATAGTCTGAAAAGAAATGGTGTTTCTCTCATTCAGTGGTAAGAATCACTTTTTTTACTTTGACTAATAAAGCAAAACAAATACTTCCGTAGATATAGGAGAAAAACAGTTTAGAGCCGCCAGTGTACTAACAAAGACGTAATTGAGGAACCTGACCTGAGACGAATGTTAAATAAAGCATTTTCCTTTAACAAAGGATGAAGCAGCCTTACCACCATTCCCTTAACCCACGCAGCCATGCAAGCAATAAAAGTAATCTTAAGAGTTAACTCCATTACAGAAATCACTGTACAATATGGGAAAACGAACAGGCACTTTAAGAAAAAGCATCCCAGGGAAGACTTTCAGGTAGAAACCATTCTGCATGGCACCTGCATTTTGTACTTCTCACTCCTCAGTCTTCATATTTCATAGAATTATAAATGGCTCAAAACTGTCTCTCCTAGGATCTCAGATGTTTCTGAAGCTTTTTTTTCTGAAGTCAAAACCTTCTGCAATCATATCACAAACCCTGCATGACAATCCTCAACTCATGACACAGCTCTTGAGGCTACAAACTGAATGAGGTAAGCTATAGAGAGACAAAGTTTTCCCTTTTGTGACATAGAGAAAATAGTCAGGAGAATTCATGTATTATTAAACCACCACCATTCTTCTGTATGTTTTTCAACAGATGAATTGCCAGTAAATATTCAAAGAGCAAACGAATACTGCTGACATCAAAAGGAATAGGCATCAAAAGTACGGTGTTGTAGAAGTATGACTTCAAATCATACGGAAAGGGCACGCATTGCTAAACAACTTGTGGAACAGCCTTGAGGTAACACAAGAACCTACTCATGAGAATTCATAAGCAGAACTAAGCATGAGCATATCTTTCATGCACATGATTTTCACCATCTCCATAGGTGACTTCAAAAGCAGAAGGTAACTTCAAAACACATTAGTCCATGAAAGAGTTATAAATTAAATATATACTACTATTATTTATATAATTTACAGAAATATTATATGTTATGATAGTGTATTATATAGTATACAATGTTATACTAACATATAACATATGAAAGAGTTAAAAGTGAAACAGAAGATTGCTTTGCTTGAACTGAATGGCAAGGATCCTCAGTTGCAATCCACACTGACTAAAGTCATGTTTTATTTTATAGAAGTCTTTTCTGGCAAGAGACTTCAAAACTAAACACCTAGAATTCTCTGTTTCTGAGGATCTCCTTTCCACCCAATCAATCCAATTTAGTCACAGGAAACTATCAGTCTTCAGAAGCTGAGCGAGACTATTTTGCTTCTGATCACAAGACTGCAAGATCAAGGAAGAAATGGCTACATTTATAGTATTAAATACCTCTATGATTTTGCATAATTTTTGCCTTTCATGTAGCCACCCTTTGAAAAACAGAAACACAGAAAATATTTTTCCAGTGTTTCTTAAAGGTTTGATATGAACACGAACTTCAGTTTGTACTTCATCTCCAGGATCCCAGTACAGCCTTGCAATGTAGCTAGCTTATAAACTACTGAAGTTAAGACAGTACGGGGAGCACAGAAACACTGAAGCATGAGAAAAAGATTCCAACAGGCTGTATTAAAGAAAATGGTAACTTCTGCCCCAAGAGCTGCAAGTCATTACATAATTTGTACTGGTTTTGGAACACGAGTATCTCCAGTACCCACTGAAAACTTCTCCACGTTTGTCATCCTCTCCAAACGGGCACAGTAAAGTAATAAAGCCAGTACGTTGCATTAGTAGACACTTTCTTAGCTGTACCTGTTTTTCAATGTTTGGTTTGCTGATCTGTACGGTCTGAGGTCCAGCGAGCCTGGTACCCGGTGCTGCTATCACGATGCTGGTGAGCTGTGCCATAGGGAAAGTTTTGGCTATGGTTGCTGTCTGCCCGTTAACTACGCGAACCGGATGTATGGAGTTCTGAGAGTTGGGTAAAGAGGTGGGTGTGAACTTTGTTGTCAACATCACAGGTCTCTGAATAAGCTGAGGAGCTGCAAGCATTGGAGGAGGTGCTGGGGCAATAGGAATGTTATTTTGGGCGACTGGTTTAGGTCGAACCTACAAAAAAAGAGAAAAAAGGAAAAAAAAGAGAGCGATTTGTCTATCAGTATTTCAGATGAACTTCCTTTACTAAGTCTTTCAATTCAGTCTGTATAATCTGCAGAAGGTTGCTTGATTTTTTATAGAATGTAATTTTTAGCATAGTGTCCTAAGTATGCTACAAGAAGGAAAAGCCACATTTTCAAACCGACTTGCATAAGACCCATCCGTAACATTTGCATATGTAGTCACGGTCCCTGAAACGGCATTTGGATGCACAGACACTTCTATGGCATGCTTATCGCCAAGTGCCTTATCTGTGTCTAAATCAACATATTGGTTTTGCAAGCCAAAAAAATCGTGTAACATTTACTGGCACAGCTGAGGCTCTCACGTTAAAAGTGTGTGTCAGGGCTTTCTGCTGAGCCTCTAAGAAATCATGAACAGTTTGTTGTGCCCTGAAATAAATAACCAAAATTTTCAGCAGATCCCTCTTACCTTTGTTAACCCTATGTATTATTTAAACATCTACACAACCGATCTTCCTAAGCAAAAAAATTGTCAAGATTACACATTAACCCCTCATTGAAAGTGCTAAAGGCAACAGGTAAATGCAGTCACTACTCTTCTTTCACAGGAAAGAAAAGGGCCACAAGAATCTTCCAAACCTCCACCACCAATACTTGCTTATTTCTTGCCCACTGTTAAGTTTGTATTTATCACATCATTACACACTACAGAAGTAGAATACATTACTCTGAAAACAAAGTATTTTTCCTTATTTAATTTCTATTGTCCCATCCACCTTTAATACTCCATAATGCATTTTATCATGGAAAACTAGTTCACATTCCAACAGATCTCACTATCCCTAACTTAATCAGATACCAGCCTATACTTTCCTTTTTTCTTTTACAAAAGATTTGGACTTTTATTCACAGTGCCACGTATTTCTCACAAATGAAATAGTTCCTCCAGATGTTTTTTAAAATGAAGAAGCAATCTGTGTCTTTCCCAAACGATGGAAAAAAAGTAAACCACAAGTTTTACTGCTCAGCTGCAAACAGAGGTCACTCTGTTGCAATACAGAGATTCTTAGGAACAATCTAGAGGCATCTCATTTTTCCTTTTTTGCCCATGAACGGCAAACGATGAGAGCAATTTAAGGCCTCAGGTGATGCTTTGATTTTGCTGACAGCTGTCCTGTGGGTTCATTTCATTTGATGCAAATAGGATCATATATGATCATCTTATGTGAATTTCGTAACCACACACTCATGCAGGTTGGGAGGCAGCTCAGGAGGTCTCTAATCTGACCTCCTGCTCAGAGCAAGGCCAACACTAATTGCAGACCACGCTGCTCAGGGCTTTGTCCAGATAGGTCTTGGAAGCCTCCAAGGAGAGAGCTTCCACAAAGTCTCTGGGAAGCCTTTTCCACTCCTAATTGTCCTCAAAGAAAGGTTTCCTTATACGCAGTCTAAACCTTCCCTGTTCCAATTTATGATCATTGTCTATAATTCTCCTGCCAAGCACCTACGTCTCCATCTTCTTGTTAGTTTCCATGTTGATTTTGGAAATAAAGCTACTGCTAGGGTTCTCCCAAAACCTCTTCTCCAAACTGAACAAGCCCAGATACCTCAGCATCCCCTTCCAGGTTATATATTCCTGCCCCCCAGCTATCTTAGGGCCTTCCTCCCCTGGATTCATTCAAATTTATCACATTGTTTCTGGTACAAGGGGGTCCAAAACTGCATGCTGTATAGCAGATCCAGTTTTATGATAGCTGAGAAAAGGTGGCCTTAACCTACTGGCTGTGGTCCTGTTGGTACAGCCCAATGTGCAGCTAGGCTTCCTTGCTGCCAGGGCACACTGCTAGTGTAGCTACTGTCAGCCAAGACCCTTCAGGCAGTGCTGCTCCTCAGCCATCCAGTCCCCAGCCTGTACCAATGCAGGAGGTTAGTTCATCCCAGGTGCAAGACTTTGCCTTTTTCATTGCTGAAGCTCAAGAGATCCCTGCTGGCCCACTCCTCTATCCAATCTAGGGCCCTCTGAATTGGGCAACAGGTAAATGCAGTCACTACTCTTCTTTCACAGGAAAGAAAAGGGCCACAAGAGTATTGACTGCACAGCCCTCAAGAGTATTGACTGCACCTGCAAATCTGGTGTCATCTGCAAACCTGTTGAGGATGAATTTTCTTCTCCACCAGGTCACTAATAAAGACTGACAAAAACAACGTTCATAGAAAGTATCTCCTATCTATGCTATAATAAAGTTCCTTCTTCTATTGCTTGTTCTCTGTACACTCACCTGTGGAAGAAAATTTGGACGCGGAGTAAGTCTGGGAGGAGGGATGAACTGCGGCACTTTTATGGGCTGAGGTGTAGCCTGAACCTGCTATAAGAACATAAGAGAGCTCAGTAAGACAAAAAAAGCTTTGAAGTTGCTCACCAAAATCAACATCCTGAATGTATTTTCAGACCTGATGTTCCTAGTTTTCTACTCTGTAAATATTTTTTCACAGTAACAGGCTCGCTATTAGAAATTTATTAGACAGAGCTAATCTTACTTTCCAGTTCCTACACACCTTGCTTCATAAATTAGAGGTATTTTTCCTTTTAGTTCACCTGTACTAACTGATGTGCTCTGCAATCTAAAACCATTTCATTTGAAGATGATGAAAACTCCTATTTGTTTCAATAGTTAAAAATTGGCTTTACAACAGAGAGAAAATACTAACAGACTTCGATGTCCAGCTATACAAACCATTGCCCTGTCATACTGAATGGCATACAGAAGAATGAAAGAGCATCTCATGCAAATAGAAAAGATCTGGAAGTTACAACTCTTTTAGCAGTATTAATGACACTACAAGGGGCTCTAAATACATAACTTGAAATTTTCAGAAGTAGGCCATTCATTTGAAACAATTAAGATCTGATTTTAAGGCGTCCTAAGTACTTCCCTGTCTAAACTGAAATCAGTTGGATGGAGCTGCCACATGACTAACCTCTGAATAGCACTACTAGCCACCCTAAGTTGAATACTCAGTGAGATTCTCTGAAATTAACGTCCATGCTAGTTTCCACCCTTCTCTACTTCTATCCACCCACATAAGATTGCAATTTACTCCAAAAAGGTCTTGTATTGATTAATTAATGCTTTGGAAAATATTCTGAGATATTTGATGAAATTTGCTACAGAAACGTAAATCATGGATGATTATTAAAACAGAATCACCACCCAAACTTAAGTTATTCAGCAAAGAAATGAAGCACAGACACAATGGACAAATGAGTGGTGCAAGGGATGACACATGGGAAAAGAGAACAGCAGAAAAAACTCCACTCAAATAGTGTTTCTCTATTCTGATTGCAAATACATGCCTCATTAGGAAGCAAAATTACTTCCATTTGCATTATTAAACTGTATTTTTAAATGAAGATAAATGGGATTTCTGTTTAGTGAAGCCTTAACCTTTACTCCAGAAGTAAAATTTCCCTGTCCTGATGCTACACAATGCGTGGTTTCCAGACCAAGAAGCCTATATAACCCAATTCTAAAATGTTACTTCTGTTTTATCTAAGTGGCTAATCATTCTGGAAAAGACTCTGTGATGTAATCAAAGCACTTTCAAAATATATACTTTAGGAAACAGGATGTGTATATGTGTATGAAAAAGTGTTGAGTGAAGACATGGTAGTGGGCAGAGTTAAGTGATGTATCTAACACCAGAGACTTTATCACGCAAAGGGAACGAGAGAGATTGACTCAAATGAATCTAAGACAGAAACTGATCAAATGAAGAAAGTCTGACATCTCCTTCACCAAAGAAAAGAGAGGAATTCTGCAGAACATAGTCACACAGATTAGGTAGGGGCAAAACAATCGCTCCTTCCCCATGACTATCAATTACTAAGGGGAAACTTTACACAGAGGTGACAATAGCACCGACTTAATTCTATAAAGCAAACCAGTAATAACGACCCATGTAGAGAGTAAATGCTTTTCTCCAAGACTATAATTTTAACAACATCAACTAACGAAGACATGTCCCTACTATTCTCTTTTCTACGCAAAAACCTGACTATTTTCTAACGGCCCTCTTATAAACTAAACCCATGCATATCTGCAGGCCAAACACGTGAAACGCTTACCAAAGTTACTGTGTTTTTTGCCACTATTTGGACTGCCTCAGCTCCTGGCCCAGTGACCTTATTTGTTGTCTGGAGGTTGACTGGTGCATTCTGCGCATCAGTGCTGAGGACTGCTTTCTGATTGTTGTTGATAGCAGTAACCATGGCAATGGTAGGTCTCTGACCCACAACAGAGGCAGGCATGGTCGCAGTTGCTGCTTTCAAGACGAGAGGTAGTGTCTTAGTGGTGATCATAGAAGCTGTAGTTACAGTTTTCTAAGGGAAACAGAAAATACACTGTAAGAGACAGAGACACTTCATATCAGACAGGACGTGGGTTGGTTAGTCAGAAACAATAGACAGTAAAAGAAAGAAAAGGCAGCACTGAGTCTGTCTATCTGCTGTTCACACAAGCACTTTATCTTACACCTCTGAAAACTGAATAGCCAGCAAGGATTCTCATTTGGGGCATCTGTCGGGTCTGTTTTAATCATCAGCAGCATTACAGATTGATTCAAAACAAATTCCCGAGAAAATGATAATCAAGTGTTAGTAGCGGCATACACATTTTTTGATCTTTTAGTTTCGTATTACTTCCGCACATGTACTGTCAATACCAAACCTACAAGGTGGAGGTTTATGAACGATACCAGCAAACTAGCTTCTCACAAATTAAAACTCAAATTTTCAAATGGAAACTTTATTTACAGATCTCCTCACAATCAGAGGAAGAGGGAAAAAACATTTGTAAATTGATTTCTTTTAAGAATAAACAATTTTTTGATTTTTGGTACCTCAAAATTCAGTTTTAGCCATACATACAGTTATTCAGCCCTTAACTTTCTTTCCTAAGAATATCAGTAGGGTTACCCTGAAGTCATAAGAGTTGGCTGTTAGTCTGCACAGCTGCAAGTAATTAAGTTTAACTTCTGTGGAATGGGGTGGTTTTGGAACATATGTGTGATGCCATGATAGTCTTGGCCTGTTTTAAAGAGAGTGGTTTTGAATCACTTAATGCCAGCATTTATCTGAAATGCCTGAACACACTATGCTCACAAATTCCAAAGTTAAAACAATAATAATCTCATAGCTTTGTTTTTAAATGTACTGTCTTCTAAGACGTTAAGGGAAATGGATAATTACGAATCTCATTCAAAAAGCAACAAGGCAAGAGACTCTCCATATAAAACCAGAACACAACGTACACAGAAAACTCATGACAAGTGACACTCAACAGAATGGCAAGTGAGCTTATTTCTTTCCTCTTTTGTGCAAAAAATCCATTGTACCAATGGCATTGCATCTTCAAAACAGTTATTGGCATGATCAAATGCTCTTGGTATGAAATAACCACCATTCCCTCCTGATGTCTAGCACTAGGCTCTACAACAGGAAAAAACGGAGAACCAGGAATCAGGCAGTCTTTTCCATGTTCTGAACAGGCCTCATTTAGACTGCTTGATTTTAATCACACAAGACCTTTCTCTTCTTTCTAATAAAATAGTATACATATATTTCCAGTTGGATTCCTCACTATTTTCACCAATGCTATTTCCTTAAACAAAAACACAGTTTACCTTCACACCTCTGCTTTGAGAATGCTTAAACTATATCACCTAACTCTTAATTACACACAAGTGTGAAAAAAAATCACTGTACAACACCAAATCAAAGATAATTCATGCTTCAATTTTATACATTCATACAAAATCCAGACATAATTAATTTTTTGTTCTTACAACATGAGTAATTCCCTTAACTTTTTATCTGAGATTCAAGAGCTTCTTTTTGACTTCTGCTGCATCTTCTCCAAAGCAAGAGGCTCCATTCCCCTAATGCAGTGACATTATTCAAGCTTTCCCAACAAGATGCAAACATGGTATCATTTTCACGGGCATTACATTCATCCATAAACATTTTAAATAAAAGTGTAATCAGTCATGTAATACAAGACTGTGACTCTTTTAAGGGGTTCTAGCAAGTCTGTAAGTACTAAGAGTATAGTTTCAGTCAGCAGATCACAGAGCTTGAATATCCCTGTTACTTCGCTGAGCATTAATTACCTTCATTATTCTAAACAATTTTCAACGCATGAATTCACATCGAAGTGGCATTCATAGTAAGTCTGCATTATTTCACATAACAAGATTGCAATAATATGACCTTTTAGCAGGCTTGCTGCTTTATGAAAATTTAAAAAGCCCTTCTTACTGGACTATATTAAGTATATTAAAATGTCACTATTTAGGCAGCATATATACCTTGATTCCTAAATTGAATTACTCTGAAAATAACCATTGAAAGCATTCTCTTTACTGACATAGCCTTGAAAGATGTATTATTTACAAAAGTAGGACCAAAAAGCTTTCTAGAGAGACAAAATATTCAACTTTTCTTTGCTGAAAGAGATTGAGGGGCAACAGGACAAAGGTACAACCTTAGATGCAAAATGCGTATAGAAGCAAGCGAGGCTACTACAGAATTACATCAATATAAATAAAAATAGAAAAGTGTTAAGGATAAAAGCTGGCTTATTTATTCAAATAAGAGGACAACCTGCCTTTCAGTTTGTAATTATTTTCCAAGTACAACCGTATCAACGACAGTCAAAAGGGTGTAGCAGTTTTTTGACTGTTTCGCTAGAGGGCTCTTTAACTTTGAACAAAACCTCAATTTTTGCAACCCAAGAGATGACCTGGAAGTTAATTTAAGTGCGGAATACAGAGAAACGCAAGAAACTGCTTTTGCAGTCATGTTTCCTGACTCGAAACCAGAGATCAGTGATACAGCAAAGAGTGATTCATGGTTTGCATGTAAATAGTTCAGGACACAGTAATATTTACTACTTTGTTCTGTTTTAGCTTTGATATTGATGTTGCTGCTCAGAAATATATTTTCCTTACTTAAGTTTGCTTCATTTCTTCAATATTCTTTTCTCAAAAATACAATTACCTAAGCCTCACAAATACATTTTTAAAGTGCACCCAAAACAACTTGCTGAGTCAAGGAAAGAACTAACAGCCCAACCATTTCTCCCTCCACTATTTCCAGGAAAGAGAAGACAAGAACCACAATCAGTCAAAGCTACGGTTGTGATTCACTGCAATGTGCATAAGGTAGATTTCATGGGTGAATTCTGCCATCTGCCTACCCAGGTCAAGGTGAGCTGCTGAGATTGCATCAACAGGAAGAAAGACCTCACATAAACTTTTTTTTTTCCCCCACAAAACAACTCCCTGTGCTTTGTTACTGTTTTATTAGCACATTTTGGGGATTCTAAATATTTGAACAGGAGAGACTTTGAATCAACTGGAACTCCACTCTCAGAAAAAGCAGACCACTTTCTCTGGTGAGTTTTGGGATTACGTCTCTAGTCCTATACTGTATTGAAATTCAGTGCACCTTCCCAATAAAGGCACTACTTTCTAAAATTCAGACTTTGCAACTACCATTGTAAACGTTTAGAATAATCCTTGAAGATTCAGGTAAGTATAATTTGATACGAGTTACATCTGTTTAAAAAGAGCCAAGCAGAAAGGAGAGGGAACTGTTTTATGTTTTGTTCACAGATACAGTGAGCACTCTGTTAGTCTTTTAAAAATAAATTATTTTAATCATACACCTCATACGGTGCATGTAAAGTCTTTACTGTTTCTTGAGACCTACT